TTTGACGTGGCCGATTTAGACTCGCGGCTGAGATTAAACTGTTTACGGTTAAAACTGCTGCGAATTACACACGCGTCCGTTTTAATCCATGATTTACGGTCGCAGAGATCGCAAGAGGGGTGAATTTGTCCGTGATCCCAATCTCCGTGGAGAATTTAACTGTGAACGCAGAGGGCGACTTGCACCCCTTGACTCATATCATCGGCGCATCCTAGATCGTTTAATTATACTTTAAGATCGTATTACATTTCGCTAAAAGTATTCAGAGATATTTTCATATCACAGAAATTCAAAATAAAATTTGTATATAAAGTTAAAATTGTAAAATTAATTTAAGCTTCAAAATCGCAAAAATAAATTCAATTAAAAATGTGAAAATTTCAAGATTCGAATATAAAAATATTTTTTAATATTTACACAATTTTGTACAAAAATTAAATATTTTCCAGATTCGAATATTCGATGATATGAGAAAATAAAGACATTATATGCTAATTGTAAGATATGATAAGGCTTTCCAATTTCGAAGAATTACAAATGCTATATAAAGATATTGAAAAATATTTAAAATTGTTTAATACTTGTCGGTTATACGAGAAAGAACAATAAAGTCTATAAATGATTTTTGTGACTACGACCGTGCGTAGTCGCGTGCACATTGAAAGGTATATATACCGGGTGAGCGCGCGATAAGTCAACCGACGCAATAGAAAACCCGATTTAACGGCAGTAAATCTTTCAATCGTGGGATTTACGATTCAGTAAGAGCGCGACGAGGGGGCAGTCGTAACGAATTTAATGAAATCGCTCTCGCGATTTTTTTTCTCGAACGCACAACGGAGCTCTAATCTACGGATTAGAGATCAGATCGACGTGCGTGTAAAATCGGAACTTTATGATGCTCCGTCACTCCATTCGTTCCTAAAGCATGTTTCTATCGCGCGCTATCTCACGGTTGTTTTGATTCTCACACCCCTTAAATGAAATTTGCAATCCCAAGTCTTTATGTTTTAGAATTAAGTCGTTGCGCGTTTAAATGAAAAATTAAATTATTCTAAATTACAAGACAGATAAAGAATTTACGAAAAATAAATTAGCTTTAACAAAATTTAATCAAGATTTTATTCTACAAAATTAAATTCCTTTTATTATAATTTTATTTTATCATCAAACTTTAGATACAGTTATCTTAGATCATATTAGGTTTTCCAGAAATATTTAATATATATTTAATATATATTTTGAAAAAGAAATATTTAATATATATTTTTTCATTCAATAATATAACATATATTAAATAACATTATGATTTTAAGTGTGAGTAAGGAGTTTCAATTCCACAAAACAACTTTATAAAAATCATTTGATGCACATTGCGATATTTATTAAAATTCCTATTTTCTCGAGCATCCGGATACTGACAACTTTCTCGCGTCACGATTTACAGGTCGATTTGCAGTCCGGCCTTTGAAGCGAATCGCGGCACCGCCAACACGTCCGCGCTAAACGCGAGGCTCGAGTTAAGAAAACGCGCTGAGAGGCCACCTAAAGTAAATTGATTCAAATTAGTTCCCAATAGCATGTAATAACGTAGGTTCCCGCGGCGTCTCTGTACCCTCCCATTTCGCCTTAGATACGTCATTATATCGACCGCCGCCTAATACTTAGGCCGATAGGTGATATAACTCCAGAATTATTGCCTGCATACCGGGTGAACCATCACGTACGCGCCGCCACGTAACGTATCAGAAATTGCGCTGTGCAGCGCGATCAGGGATTGGAAGACAAACGCCAGATTAAACGTGGCCCGGGTCGCCGCTCGCTCTCAATTCAATTTGCGAGTCGAGAGAGTCGCATAAAACACTGAGGAAAGTTGTAACCAATATTTCAAAAAACGCATGATTTAAGAGAAATTTTTATTGATTGGGAAATCTATTGAAATCAAGATATCCTAATAAGAAAAATCTAAAATATTTTATATTTTATAAATAAATAAATATATATATATATATATATATATATATGTGTATATTTTATTTTTAAATAATCTTCTATTATTTTCGCGCGGTTCTTATTAAATGTAGAAGCAAAGATGTTGGTGGGCATATCGGAACATTTAGATTATAGACCTAAGTGGTTATAATAGCTGTCATCGAGACGTAAGGAAAAGAAATTAATATTCATGTCGCGTCGCTGAGTGTCAATTTGTTCGGGTCCGAAAATTAGTAAACGATATGCTCCGATCTCAATGCTCAACCGACGTCAAATCAGATGCTCCGCTGTCAGCCTTCCTCAAAAGTCCTGTTCTGTATATTTATACCCGAAACGAAACTTTCGATAATTTCCCCGAAGAGATTTGTCGGGCATCACGAGCGTTTTTATTACGATCCGGCACACACCTACGTTACCGCGTTGGCAACCCTTTTAAAACGACCTCGCTCTCGTCGGGCCCCGAGGAACTTGTTTTGCTCATCTCAAGGCATCCTCGAGACACAAATCATGCTCGAACGGATCCCTTCTGCTTTCAAGAACGACGAATTTGACCAACCTCTCACAAGATTTCAACGGCTACGCTTATATGCCGTGCTTATAGTATGTATTAGTGTTTATTCAAACAAGCATATCGCAAAAGAAAAGGCTAGTAGTAAAACACGCCAAATATATCAAAAGTATTCAATTGCTGTGACAAAAAAATTAAAAGAATAAAAATTTTATAAATGCTATATAACTTATATGTGTATGCATATATGTATGTATATACATTTGGCGTCTTTTACCATAAAATAAAAATTTGTCACTCACCGACCGATGCAGAATAAAGCTGATTTAATCTGTAACATACACATATATGATCTAAATTAACAAAAGTTCTCTATAGCAAAAGCTCAAAATAATTATATAATATTTCAAACAATTATTATTGTTACGTTACAAGTAGGATTTAATCAATTTATTTAATTCATATTCAATAATAAACAGATATTTAATTTCTTTACTTCTTGTTAAAGTTATTTAAATAAGCAAATCAGGTAAACAGAAATATATACGGTATATGATTAAGAAAAAATGATATACAAATAATAAATTACCGTAAAATTGCTCTGCTGTCGCCCGATACATCCTAGACCTCCTCCTCTCAGACTGCCAGATAAACTATTGTTTTTCTCTTTTAAGATATGTTACACTCGCGCACTTACGATAAAGCGGTTAATTAACAATCGCGCGCGAATCATCCGCGACACAATAAAAACGGACGCGCGACATTTTTCACGGCACTCCCGAACTTAAAACACGATAAACTATTTGCAGAATGATGAAAATAAATGCGCGATACTTTTTACGGCACTCCCGAATTCGACCGACTTCTTTCACAAGATTTCAACGGTTATACGTTTACATGTTATTATTGAGAAGACACATTATTAACTTTTATTCAAACAAGCACATCTTTCTTTTGTGTATTTTTTTATCATAAATAAAATGTTGTTACTTCATTAAATTAAGATATTATTAGGATTACAAGATGTTCAGTAGTTTGGTAATATAAGCGAAAAACAGGACACTAAATGTAGGAAAAATATGATCAAATATGACAGAGATTTCAAATATAAAAACATATTTAATCTATCCTGAGCAACTTTTATAATTCAAGGAGAATATAAATTATAAATGATTACAATAAAACAAGTTTATGTTAGATTCAGAAAAAATTACAAAAATGGAATCTCAAATAAAATTTGCCGTAATAAAATTTTAAGTTTAATATAATATAATCTTCTTCAATCTTCTCGAAGAAAAGTAAAACACATCAAATATATAAAAAAATATTCAATCGTGACAAAAAAAAGTTAAAAAATTTATAAATGCTACAGGCCTACTACTTATATATACATATATAATATATACATATTTGGCGTTTTTTATCAGAAAAATTTGTCACTCACCGATGCATAATAGAGCTGACTTACGTTAACTTACGTAGGTTAATCTGTAACACACAAACATAAGATCTAAATTAGTAAAAGTTTAAAATAATTAATATTTCAAGCAATTATTATTGCATGCGTAGAATTTCATATTCAATGCATACAATAATAAACAGATATTTAATTTCTCTACTTCTTGTTGAAATTATTCAAACGAAGCAATTAAACAGGAATAGATACAGGAATAGATATAATTAAGGAAACATGCTATACAAATAATAAATTACCGTAAGCTTGCTCTGCTGTCACCCGATGCCTCTAGACCTCCTCCTCCTCTCAGACTGATTTCTCCTTTAGGATTTGTTGTACCTATACTGACGCACGAATCATCCACGATACGATAAAAATGGACGCGCGATACTTTTCACGATACTCCCGAATTTAAATTGCGATGAAAACTATCCGTGCAATGATGAAAATAAATGCGCGATACTTCCCGAATTTGATCGATCTTTTTCGATAAGATTTCGACGGTCACGCTTATATGCCGACATCGAATACATAGAATCTTTGAATACATTGAATATTAATGTTTTTATTAAAAACCGAGCATATCATGTTTATTCATTATCACAAATAAAATGTCGTTGCTTCATTAAAAATATTTATCGTGATTAATTATACAAAGTATTCAGTAGTTTTGCTTACATAGACTAAAAAACAAGACACTATATATATATGATAAAAATGAAATATGATCAAATATGACAGAAACCTCAAATATAAAAAGATATTTAATGTTTTGAGCAACTTATATAATCTTATTCCCTTAAATATATTTCAAAATAATAATTTAAATTTAGAAAAAATTGTGAATTTTATTAACAAAAAAATCTTATAAAATTTGCTGTAATATAATTTTAAGCTAAGCATAATCTTCTTCAATCTTTCTACTTCTACAGAAAAGTAAAACGCCAAATATGTAAAAAATATTCAATTGTAACAAAAAGAAGTTAAAAAATCAAAAATTTTATAAATGCTATATTAATTTACTACTTATATGTATATATTATTTAAATATCTATTAAGCCTTTTTTACTACAAAATAAAAAGTTATCACTCACCGACCGCTGCATAATAAAGCTGACTTACGTTAACTTACATAGGTTAATCTGCAACATACAAATGCAAGATCTAAATTATTAGTTATACCACATTTTAAACAATTATTATTGTACGCGTAGGATTTAATCAATTCATACTAAATAATAAACAGATATTTAATTTCTCAAATTTCTTGTTGATGTTATTCAAATAATCGAATCAATTAAACAGGAATAGATACAGGTATATAATTTAAAAAATGATACAAAGTAATAAATTACCGTAAGATTGGTCTGTCGTCGCCCGATGCCTCCCAGGCCTCCTCCTCCTCTCAGATTGTTGTTTGCCTCCTTCAGGATTTGTTGCACTCGCGCACTGCATCTACTCACGAAAAAGCGGGTAATGATCGCGCGCGAATCAACCGCGATAAAAACGGAGACGCGACACTTTTTATGGCACTTTTGAACTTAAAACGCGATAAATTATATATCCGCGAAATGATAAAAGTAAACGCGCGATATTTTTCACGACACTCCCGAATTCGACCGATCTCTTTCACATGATTTCAACGACCACGCTCATGTACTGCTTTTATGGGAAAATTAATCTGTAACATACAAATATATAAGAGGTAAATTAGCAAAAGTTCTCTATAGTTTAATAATCATTCTTCAAAATAATTTATATAAAATTTATGTAAAATTTATATAAAAAATTATGTTCAGCAATAATATATTTAAGATCTCAATGTCATTTTACTTTGTTTCAAGTAAAAGTTAAATCACCGATAAATATACGGATGAACGGATTAAAATAAATTGGAGTAAATTGATATGTTCTCAAATATAGTATCTATACAATTAGTAATTATTAATTTATCGCATTGCTTAAATGATTTAAATTATTTATTCGAAGATCTCTCTCTTTTTCATTCAGTCCTTTCCTGATCTATCGAGATACAACAAAAAAGAGATGATACATAAATCTACATCGTGATGAATGCATCAAATGAGCTTTTCTGAAACAGCTCGTATCACTTTTCGTGCGGTGGATTAATTTTTCCATTGCCTAACGCTTACGACGAGACTCGTGTGGAGAGCCGGATCGCCTAATCTTATTCAAAACGATTTTAGAGAGGTCGTCGTGCGGACAAAATTAGTGTTTTTATTGCGGCAGCCACTCGAGAGAAACCGCTCTCGCTCTCGTGATTCTACATAGCGAGTGTTTCGGATCCACTCGACTTACCGACGGCCGCCACCTCCTCTTCAAATATCGAGAACACCCTCGATCCTCGCCAGCCGGGCCCCGAAAAACATATTTTGTGAACACAACAATAGCCGGCGACGATTATACGGTAGTGCCGAAAACAACATTAGCGTCTGCGACCACTCAAGAAGAGGAGAACGGTCGCTTCCTCGCAAGATCGCTGACAAACGATGACGCAACGAAACTTACTCGTCCGGTTCAAAGAGGAGGCAGGCACCTCTCTCTTTGAAAGAATGTAATTTTTTTTCAAACGTCTCGAGACGAGACTGTACAATAGGACCAAACAATCGAACGACTCGTCAGCATCTATTAACGAGCGAGTGCGAATGATTGGCAGCGCGTGTCTTCGACAGCTATTTTAAACTATACATCTCTCTATCTTTATGCATAAAAATGGACATTATTATAATACTATTAAAATCTTTCTTATACGTGGAGACCAAAAATTTATTATGTCCAAAAATTAAAATTGAAAAAAAAATAGAATTTTGCACGAAATAAATTCTCAACAATTTCGATTCACATCTTAATGAAAAAAAATCAATATTTTTTATACACATACAACATATGGACTCGAATAAAGCATTCTCGATATTTTAATAACCGACTAAAGAAATCATTACTTTTGATCTTCTCAACTGAACACTGACATAGCGATTTTGCAACGAAGCGAAACGTTAAGAACAGGAACGCGACTTTTCCATGATTCCTGCTGCGCAACCCGGAGAGAACGTCAAAATGTTACATTTAATGTATGCGGAGTTCCAGTCCGCGTCTCGCTCGTCAGCGTCCAGCGAGTTGAAATCCGGCCGGGAGACCTCCAAAGCATATCCGATCCCTCGGCACTATGATGATCCGTGAAACATCTTGTTAGTATCTCTGTATAAACGGATGAATGGTGCGTACAAACCCCCATATAGAGTAAATCACAAATAACTGCTCGTTATATACATATATAATTATTTTGATATTATTTTTTGACGTATTGTCACGAAATTCGCAACGCAGCCAATATGACTTCAGTGCGACATCGCCGCTGCTAGTTGATTCTTTCTCTCTCTTTCTCCCTCTCTCTCTCTTTCACCGGGAAAAAAATCGCCTCACCTCGCAACATATTTTAAGCGCGCCGCGAGATTTATGTCCCCGATCTCTCCGAGGATGAGAGACAGCGAGTCGGAGAGTTCGCTACTGTGCGCTGCGGTGCTCGTCTTTTGAATAGCGGATAATACTACGCGCTGGCCGCTATCTGTCCCGCCGCGCCCCATATCCAACATCGTATATTTAAAATTTAAATCCTCGCATGTGACTCTTTAATTTCTCTCTCTTTCTTTGTTTTGCAAAATTTCAAACATTTATGAAATCTAAATATAAACAGTAATTTACAATAATAACAGTAATATGATTCAATGCAAAATCGCTCTAGAATATGTAATTCAATTAATATTTTAATAATATATTCTAGAAGCGATTTTGCATCCATATATTATATTTTCAAATTTAACTATTACTATTGTTTTGAAATATAAATTCACGAGGGAGAATAAAGAGAACATTTTTTTATAATACAAGAGAATTTTCTATTCTATTCGAAATGTCCATCGTATAAGCATCGATCGGTATTTCGTCAACGCTTCGGAAGCCGAGTTGCATGAACGAACCCATCTCCTTTCTGCATACAGCTAAGAGGAAGGAACGTCCCGCTGGTCGTCCTATCTCATTAGCGATCGCATGTACGTTCCCATGATCGCTGCTGACGCTGAGACGTGGCATCTTCGTGCCATTAGATAGAAAATTCCACGTACCTAAGGATCATCAACATCATTATCAGCGTAGTCATCGCCGGGGTGGCGCTAGAGTCTATATAATCTCAGTACGTCGGCTTATCAGAGCGCGTCAGTGACTTCTCTGAAAGGTGGACCTTTTTCTGGCGCACTATCTGCCTGCCTTATCGTGCATTCCGCTTCTCGCCATTGCGGCCATTTGTTCATTGTTTCATTCGGGGATTCATCAACGCATAAGACAAGCGAGTTATTAACAATAGTTGTCGCCGGATTAATTAACCGCGAGAACGCGCAATATCCGGACGCTGTGCATAATTGCATCGATTGCGATCTACCGTATCTATTGACATTAGACGATACATACTGCATTTTTGAATAATCAAGTATTATTGCGAGACAACTGCGATATAAAAAAAAAATAAAAAAAATACTTTATAGTCCAGGACTAGAATGATACATGTATTTGAAGAAAGATATCTCGTCTGCCCGGTTTCACGCGATCGCGAGAGAGACACCGAGATACTCGGCATCATAACAGATACCGAGGTCCTCGATGAAAAGCAGTCTCCTTCCTCGTCTGTCTACCTATCAAAAAGGGCAAAAGGAAGAAGAAAAAAGAAATCGGTGATACCGGCTCCTCGGTATCCTCGAATGTGCCGGCGCGAAAGCTCCGGCCTATTAGAATACGTCAGACTCTCTTCAAGGTAACGTCCTGTCATTTTTTTCTCCCGTAACCGCTATCGGATCCGTGGATCGGTGCATTCGATTCAGCGCGATCTACCTCTCTCTCCCGCTCTTCATCGCGCTCGCGAGCCGCTGGTAGCTATGGGCTGTACACATGTACACGCACACGCGCGCACGAGGGTGGGCTGACGAGTGGCAGGTTGTACCCGGAATACCCACCGCGGTGCCTCGCTCAGTGGGGTCTCTCCTCTCTTATTCTAAGTGCTGGCGAGTCGCGGGAGAAGAGAGGAGAAGAGAAGAGAAGAGAACCGTGAAGCAAACCGATGTTATCTTCTCCCCCGGTTGGAGAGGGATAAAAGCTTAAAGGCTGCAGCCAACTACGATGATACCACCGGTGTACGAGAGTGTCAGGACGCTTGAAGCCTCGAAGAAGGCCTGCAACGTATGCGTGATACGAAGAGGAAGAGGGTCCAGGACACGCGGTTAAGGTGGGAGGGAGGAGAGACTTTAGAGAAAGAATCAGGGAGACATCCGAGGGAAGACGGAGGAGAAGCAGATTGGAATGCGGTGACCAGCAGGCAGTGAAGAAGGCTTCGTATAGAAGGAAGGAGGTAGACTGATGAACCAAGAGAGACAAAGAGAGAAAAGCGATTCGATAAGATGGAGAAGTGGACTAACCTTGCGTGGCCAACATAGGGGGACAGTGACGTACCTCCCGCGGAGGTACGCGTCAACCGCATACATATACATGCATACTTGTTCGCGCGGGAGCGGAGGTTCTTCTGCTTTCGCAGGAACAACGATCACGGGGACATTTCCCTGGTATCTTCTTTTCCCTCCCGCCTGCCTCACGCTCAACAATGCGTAGACGATGCGATCATGCTGACCGGATATCGCGAATCGGCCGGACATGACGCGATGGTGCGAAACGACGGAGAGAGAGGGTCTTCCCTGACGGCGAAATCGTCGTCGTTTCTCGTTTAACTTTCTAACCATGTTCGTTTGAAACGTATGTTATTATGTGACTGGATAAAAACAATCCGACACACGAGTCATTTATTATTACATGAAAATATATAAGTATCCTTCTCTTGGGTATGTGTGTGTTTTAACGTGCAAATATATATGTGTATCATAAAATAAAATGTCACGAACACTTGATTAGAAAGAAATTTCGAGGAGGATTTTAAAGAATTTATTATTTATTATTGAAATATATTTTTGATTCTATATTACGTATCCTATCAATAATACTTAAATTAAATAAGATTGACATAATAATATGGAAGATATATATGGTATTAACTTCATCAATTTTTTGTTTATGCGTTAGTTCACTCGCTAAAATAGGACTGCGTCTATTTTAAAAGAGATATTTTATAGGTTTTTGTTGCAATAACAAAATGCAAGACAATCGATCCATTTTTTCAAACTTGAATGCATTTTAATGACGACTCAAAATACAGTGATTTCTTCCCACACGTCAGCAGACTTCGCATTTGATCGGACATTAAAATAAATTTATAGTCTACGAGAGAAGAGTCATTTGAATACCGTTAATGTCATTAAAACCGTTTCGTTGAGTAATTTAACTGTCTCGTTAACATAAATTAAAGCTGCGTTGCATATATCATTATGAAGTAACCGAAGCTTACCGTACGTGTAGCCGTTTAATGTCATCGTATTTGTGCATTTGTCATTCTATAGTCAGTGTCGCTACAAGTCTCGCGTCCATCACACCACACATTTTTTTACAAATTTATAAACTTTTTGCTATTACACTTTCTTTATGAAATGCAAACAATATATTAATGCAGCATATTTATACAGTTTTCTATACAAATCGAATAAGAACCAACAGATCATTCATATATAT